GTACCGTCACCCTCTACGACAACTTCACCGTCTACAACCAGCGGGTGAGGCCCCCTTGCCTGCCCATGGCGGGGCCTGATGTTCCGTCACTGGGGCTGGGTGCCCAGCCCTGAGACCTGACAGCTCATCACACCTCTGCTGGGAAGTTCCCCAGGGCACTGGGTGGGGGCAACGGAGGCACAGCCATGGTGCCAAGGCAGGGATGGGGGGATGCTTGGCTGGGGGCAGGGAGGGGGGGATCTCTGCTTACCTCGTTGTCTCTCCTCTCTTGGCAGGTGAATGGCAAACACACGCTGGGGGAGAACATTGCTGACATGGGGGGACTCAAGCTCGCCTACTATGTAAGTGTCCCCTCACCCTGGGGTGTCACAGCCCTGGCAGGGCCATGGGGCAGCTGCTGATGCCTTCCCCACTGGGTGGGCAAGACCCTTTCCTCCCAGCATGATCCTGTCTGGGGGTTCAAGGCGCTTGTGGGGGGGTGCCCAGGCCATGCTGAGAGCACCCTTTGTTCTCCAGGCCTACCAGAAGTGGGTGCGGGAGCATGGCCCTGAGCATCCCCTGCACCACCTGAAATACACACACGACCAGCTCTTCTTCATCGCCTTTGCCCAGGTGAGACCCTGCCCTCCCCACACACGGCACCTACTGAGGAGGTGGGAGAAACTTCTAGGAGACCCTACAGCCAGGGAGACCACAACCCTAGGAGATCCTACAATAATGAACTCACCTCTCTGCTCTCACAACCCACCCGTTCTACAAACACAGGCTCCCAGCAGACCCTACAGATGCACAACCAGGGCATTGCTGCCCTCATCTTCCAGCAGCCAGAGGGGCCACTGTGCCCCGGTGGGTGCCAGGACCCCTCAGGTCCATCTGGCTTACCAATGGGAACCTTCCTCCCCTGCAGAACTGGTGCATCAAGCGGCGGTCCCAGTCCATCTACCTGCAGGTGCTGACGGACAAACACGCCCCAGAGCACTACAGGTACCAGCTGGCCCCAAAAGAGGGGGAGGGGGTGGGCATGGCGGGTGCCAGCCTTCCCCATGGCTTGCTGTGCCATGCAAAGTGGGCTGGGCACCCTTTGAGGTG